CTATTAGGGTTGGAGGACATCGCTATTGGGGTTGGAGGCCATCGCTAATTATTAGGGTTGGAGGACATCGCTATTTGGTTCCTTTTTCATTGGGTTCTGTTTTGGTGTCGCGTTTTCAGATGTCTGCGATCGGACGGGCCGCGATGCGGACGATTTCAGGAGTTGAACATGTCCCAGAAGCTGAGAACTAAAGGCTTCCTGATGGTTCCAGAAAGATTTCCAAGGCCCAACTCTGTGAAAAATCGATCTGATGCCACAACTCTATGACATGCTATGCCGTCGCTCCAGGTGTCTGGGCGACCGTGAATCCCACGCCGTGACGCCTTTCCACGGCGGGACGACGGTGATGCCGAATACCACGCCGAGCGGCTTCATCGGATTCGTCTGGGTGAGACAGTTCGATTTCATCGACTTATGGTACAAGATGGTAGTCTGCCTGAAAGATGAGTCTCACGACCTGAAGTCCCAACCTGGTGATGTCATCGAGTAGTCCTGATGTCATCAGCTCCAGTAAAATGAGGTTTTGGACCTGCAGGGTATTAAGTATTATATAGAGATTGCATCTGACAACACTAAGATCCATGTCGACGTCCTGATAGTGCAGCTTTGTGTAAACAGACATAAAGAAAAGCTCTTCTGACTGCAGTTTCCTTGGGTTCGGGAACATATACAGCGAGTCTCTTCCGAGAGTGATGCTTCTTCCAACAAAAGACTTGGTTTCTACCTCTTAAGATTTAGATATTTGGAAGTTTTTTCTTCCACTGGAAGAACTGGAACTGGATTCCTGGACACACACACAAACACACTAATTGTTTTGTTTTTTTTGGGGGGGTAGGCCGGTAGAGGTGAGGTAGGTAGTAGCTAGGTAGGTAGCTAGTAGAAGGACGCAGGATAGCTCATGCTTCTTCAAGGAAGCTTCCCCCGTCCTAAAGGCGGCGGGGGAAGCTTCCTTGAAGAAGCGCTCACACTAAGGTTTCCAGATTTTTAGAGAAACTTGCATATTTTCTGAGGCAAGGCTCCTGGGCCTGGTCCTTCGTCTGATTGGTCGAAGATGGTCGAAGGCTCATCTTCCGAAAGCATGTCGCGTCTCAAGGCCCAAGTCAGGAATCCTCTCTCCACATAGAAATAGTGTCCAAACTGAGTGGGTTTTAAATGGTTGAAACCAGGAACAAACATATTGAAATATACGTACAAACGGGATGAGATCATAGGAGCGGGCCTTCAAAAATGGTTTCCAACTGGTCCCTCTGCAGGGCGAGGTGGCTCTTCCCGCATTGTGCGTACTGCTTTCGGACCGTCTGTCAACTATCGACATTGACCCTTGTCCCCATGGTTCTTCACACCAAGCTCAAAAATAGATCTCAGTGGAGGTTATGACATTGTTATATTGTATTGCTGCAGGGAGCCAAGCTACTATGAAAATACAACGACAGAAGCCAAACATGCCAGCATTGTCTCCATCTATCTTGGGTTTGATGCCGACCATGTCGTGGATATACATCTTGATGACAGTATCAATTGCCAAGCTTCTACACAACTCCACAGCAGTTTCTACATGACAAATATACCAACATGTAACATGTTGATCTTCCTCTTGAGATTTGGCTCCAACTTGTTCATGGTTCTTCCGTTGTGTTTAGAACTCTCCTGCTGAAGTGAACGAACAAAAAGCCACTTGTCATGTAAACATGGCGTGACCCGTGTGACCCGTGCGACCCGGGGTCTTTCCCCACTTTGCGTCGAACAAGGACGCTACGAACGGGGCTCCTGTCCTTACTAGTAGGAGTGCCCCTTTGCGGGGCTTTGTTTTGCAGCCTCGGGCCAGATGCCCCACGTGGGAACGCGTGCTCCACGATGGCCCAGCGCCTTTTGGAGGGAAAGTAACCCCACATACGGCCTCCAACCCCAATAGCGATGGCCTCCAACCTAATAGCACAAACTTGATAAAACTTGGAGAAACTTGCAAGACTGCAAGGCCATGACAACATGTGCTCTAGTTCATCGCTTCCTGACCAGTCGCTTGCTCTCAGCCTGAGTCCTGGCAAACGGCAAGCAGGACTCCTTGATACTCCTTGACCCTGGTAGAAGGCAAGAACAAGCATAGCCCTAACCTTGATTTGGAACACCCCACTCTGATTCCGGGTCTGGGTCTGAACCAAGCATGTGGATTCACCCGCAAGAATCAGCAAAATCCGCCACGACGCCAGAAATACTGAGCTGCCAACTAAGGTAGCGGGATGTGGTGAGTGTGGAGTCAAAGGTTATTTTAGATCAACTGTTCAACTCTACTAACAGCCCAGTATCATCCTTCATAGGTATATACGGTATACTGAGAAGTCTGCAAGGGATGTGTTTCTTCTTTGTTGAATATGGTCTATATACCGTGCTATCCCGCCGTCTCCGTGCATCCAACATGCATGTCTTTGCGATGCTTTTCGAGAAGCCCTCCTGTAAGGTCTTTCTTGTTCACCAACCCTTTAAGACTCATGAGCTATTGCGATTCTCGGATCCCGCAGCGACAGACTGGCAGGCGAAGGCCACAGTCGACTCCATGGGAGCATTAAGAGCTTTTTAGCCGCTCTGCGCCCCTCCTGACTTAATTGAGTAAGGAGGTAAGCTCCTAGGTAGGACGCAGGATAGCTGATAATATTCATGTAAAGCTAATACAGCATAATTATGTTAACATCTAGGACTGATTGATTTTGATACTGGGTTTCAGGTGGCCAAACATGGACAAACCGAGGCCCTCATCTTTTGACACTCCTCGGAAGTCCAGTTGCTCGATATCCGAGCTGCCCGAGCGTGTTTTCTATCGTGGTTTTCGGGTCTGAGCAAACAACTTGTGGACTTTGAAGGTGGCCTTTGTAGATACTTTTGAAGGCGTGCATGCACGGTTGGTTTTTACCCCGAAAAGAATCATCGCAGGTGGTGACCTGTGAAGTCGGGTGCTACGAGTACCATCCCTGGCGTCGTCAACCTTTGTTGCCTCGCAGCATTCAAAACGGTCCACAAGACTGAAAACAGTTCTTTCATGTTACTAGTAGCGATGCCCTTGTTACTAGTAGCTTCTAGCTACTTGTAGTAATGCCCTTGTTACTAGTAGGGATGCCCTTGTTACTAGCTTCTAGCTGCTTGTAGTCATGCCCTTGAAAAGGTGTTCTTTCTGTCCTGAAGGCCCCAGCACCTCTCCATGTGGACCTCAAAGACTCGAGTGCTAGACTCGTTTTGGCAACTGACTGGTAGAAATATGCATTCGACCAATCTCCGGATATCTGTGCAAAGCAACCTCTCCCAAACTGGGAAGAATGGAGGACCCAGAAGGGGAACACAGGTTTTTGTCAGTCTTCTCACCCTATTGCAGGGTAGTTTGCTCGTTTCCGGCGATGTCGATCTTCCCAGAAGCCTAAGGAATCCATCAAAAGAACATGCATCAGAAAACTGTCTTTTCCACCCCGCTGACTGTTTTGGAACCTGAAATTAGCAGGAAAGCAGTGTCTTTTCCAGTCTGCAAACTGCGCCAATTAGACCACTCAGGCGCCCAAAACTCGTTGCAGCAAAGGTCTATACTTTGTCCTGCCATGTCTTGCCCCCCAAATTGCAAAAGCGTTCTGCACCAGCTTCCTAGAATAGTCATGTCCTTGTACCTTGAACCTGACCCGCTGGGTGCTGCACGAGCTGATCGATGAGCGATAAGAAGCCGATCCGTTCGCTGCCTCGAAAAAGAATAGAGAAGGATGCAAACTCCAGCACCGGCACCACTCTGGGATTTGTCTCAAAACCGTTCACCACAGAAAAATCCGTCAAGTGACAAAAACGACATGTTACGCATTGATGCATATGTGTATTTATGAATATGTAACTTACGTGTATCTGATTTTGTAGTAGGAAATGATATGGTTGCAGTTTAGTTGTGGTTGTGATAGAGGTAATAGCCGCCGTTATTGTAGTCGCGGTCGCAGTCCCAGTCCCAGTCCTAGTAGTAGCAGTAGTAGTAGCAGCTCTTGTTGTCGTCGTGGCCGTCGTCGTGGTTGTTGTAGTTGAAGTTGTTCTGCTGTAAGTCTCAAAGAAGAATCCACCTTACTACTAGGAACAAAAAGCTACAAGGGGCTTCTGGCATCGCTACTAGGAGCAAGGACGCTACGTTCGGGGCTCCTGGCATCACTCAACAGTCCTACTCTGTGGTGAAGATGTCCGAACTCGCTGCAGACCTGTTGAACTGGGTTCGGCCTCCTCGAGGCGTGACATGTCAAGGAACACCTCCCCTTTCATGTACGAAACAATGGATGCCTGCAGTAACTATACACAGTCCAGCAACTGAATTAGACATAGTCTGTGTCCAGGATGTCGCTGAAAAATGGCGCATGTCCAGGAACACAAAACCGACTTCTTGTACATCCGCATCATCCAACTTCTTCTGGCCGCCGAGTAAGAGGGGCAGAAGGAGACCACGGGGCGTCAACCGGCGTCGCATCCACCGATTCTCCCCCACGGTATCTGAAGCATCCGGGCCCAGTATCTGAAGCATCCGCTGTCGCAAGCCTAAGGCGGATGCTAAAGCAGAAGGCGGAGAAGGTCATCGCCACTTTGTATGTACTCTGACTTTAAAGAGAGGATTCAATCATGGATTACCCAAAATCAACGGAGCTGCCCCGTCTTTTTTCAGCGGCCCCGAGCCCTTCACTATCTCATGAATTCAACCTATCCTCTGGTGATGCTGGTCCTGATGCCACAACTAACCACTCAAAGAGCCAAAACACAACCACTTACATACTCCCACAAATAAACGACAAAGTCTCAGGAACTCTCTGACCTATCTGTGGTTCTCTGGGTCTAGAAATGTTTGGAGTCTTGACCATTTATTAAGACCACGATCTTCAAGGATGTCAAACGAAGGGTAAAAGTTGATAAAAGTTGCCCCTGGACATGTATAGTGGGTTGAGAGTAGATGGCGCAATCCCCAAGTTAGGTGGTGTATATGAAATGTCCATCTACAACCGGGTTTGTGCCATCTACTCTGAAACTGTACGTGGTTGCTAACTCCATAGGTCCACTACCTCAGCACTTTTCTTTTTCAACGATGTACAGTTGATCCTGGTGAAGCCCACCTGGTGGCGCAGAATCACCACCTGGTCGGATGTACCAAGTGACGCGCCCCCCAAAACCGTGGTGTCCGACGGCCCAGGACTCGCTGTACCACACGTTGCGTGGCCAGGGCACTGGACGGCAGCTCCTCAGCGTCCACGGACTCTTGGACCATGCGCCTGGACCCGAAGGATGTTCGAGTGTGGGCTGCCCACGGCCCCGTTGCACAAGAATTCCTGCGGTACTTTGGACAAGAACTTTGGAAAAGAAACACGTATTTAAAAAAAACAAACAAACAAACAAACATAACAAATGCAGGGAGCTTCCTACACAAACAAGAGAAGTGGGCAGCAGAGCTGTTCTCCGGAGAAATGCATGTTGCCTCTAGTGTCGTAGTAACCTCCTTCTGTTTATGTTCAACCAAACCCTCAGAGTTGCCTACGGATCCGGACCGAAACCCCGCTATTCTGTTCGGAGGGATGGGGAAGCCATACTTGGATATGTGTGTGCTTGATTATGGTTCTTTTGACTCATCGAGCTCAGAATCGGGTTTTGACTCGTGGGCAACAAACTAGTTGCACATGCATGCTACTGAATGTTACAATTGTGCACTAGTCTTGCATACAGCTGGTTTGCCAGGAAACATTTGCACCACTTCGGCTGCTTTGCCCAATCTTTTCCCACCACAAGCGAAGGTTGCAATGCATCCATGCGCCAAACGGCAAGGAATCGCAGCGAGCGTCGGCCCAGGCGATCTTGGAATGCACACCGACGCTTGCAAGAGGGGCTTACAAATACATGGGCTCAGTTAAACCAGCAAATATGATGAATGAATATAAGTGTATGTATGACAGTGAACAACATTGAATGCATTTGATTAATCGTCCAATGATATAGTCTAATAAAGGTTCTTGTGCATTTGGAAGTGTTGTCAGGGCACATATTTATAGACTCTAGATGACTCTAGCACTTTTCGACCAACGCATTAATTCTGCACGCGAGCAGTGAGTCTAACTGTGAGTCATGTCCCCTCAGAAAAAAACACGCTCAAAGCATGTCAAAGCTGTTGATGAAATGAACCTGTTGGTCTCTTTCACCCAACAGGTCACCCGTGTCGTATCGGTCTCGGTTTTCGTCCTTCTTTTTCCCGTTTCGTCTTCTCTCGGCTTTGCGGGTCCGGACCTCTTCAGTTTCGGGGAGTTGACCCAGTCTCACCCGATCCCACATAAAAGAACCTCAAGGAGCTCAATCAAACTATGGGTCGGCAGCGCATGCTATGTGTAGAATAGCAAGATGAGGATCCCCTCCCACATGGAGGTCCCCCCTCAAGCCATCACGGAAATAAGGAGAAACTTGAGGCAATGGGATAGGGTTTTGAGCCAAACACATTTCAAAACCATCATTTCTCCATGGCCGAGGTGCAATGAGGCACCGCGTCAGCTCGTTGGGCACCACTAAGCGCTTGGGTTGCCTTGTGGCACGTCGCAAAACGTTCAAGCATCCAATTGGTGAAGAACCCGGTGAGATCCGGCGATAGAGTTGAATACGAAATCACATGAGTGGGACGTATGAAAACTATATGAATGCTGCATGCAATTTAGGATCCTCCGTTTCTAAGTCAATAGATGTCAATAGTATTGTTTGCTTATTAGGGCCAAGCATGAACTCAAGAATGTTATTGGACACTTGAAAGACAAACTCGAAAAGCAAACAAAAACAGCAGGCTGGACAGTTGCACTCGCTAGCAAAATCACGGATCATCTGATGTCAGACTCAGCAACTCAAATTTTGACTCAAAAACCAGTGTGCTCAAAGGTTTTACAAAACATCTCCAACCAGCATCATGTTGGGTTTGTCCCATTACCAGTAGCAGTGGATGATGATGGCTAGGTTGAAGGCCTTTCTCGAAACTAGTGAGAATCGTTTACCGACTGTTACTGGTAATGGAACAAACATTAATTATGTGGGTTAGTCCCTAAGGACCCAAGGTCTTGGAAGATTTGTTCTGCAACACCTCATTGGTGTCAATCATGTTCTCGTGACACGGAAACATCCGATTAGAGGATCGCTGGAACACCGAACCCACCCGTTTTCTCGGGTTGCCATTTCGGGATCAGCAAACCACTCTCCAACATCGCCATCGACAAGGGATCCAACTCTTCCAATGCGCCTGGCGTGCAGTTTTCCAAACTGTGGAACAGGCACTGCCGTCTTCCCCAAAAAACTGTGGGTGTTGTGACAACGAAAGGTTGAATTCGCACTGAACACACCCAAATTGCAGCAGAACCCTATGTCAATGTCGATGTGTTTTTTCTTCATAACGGGCACTCCTGGCAGTGCAGTTTTCTCACAAATGTGTTTTTTAGATATAGATCAATCGTGGGCCAGGCTTTCCTGCAGGGCTACACTCTGTGGAAAACAAGCAAACCATGTTTTCAAAAGTCAGTCCTCAGTCAAGACTCTGATACATATTTTTTGGGGGATGGTTTTTTTCTTTATTTGTTTGTGTGTTTGTTTGATATATTTCTTTTCGAGGTCAGCACCCTTTTCTATGGAGGCGGGCCAGGAACATTGACCTATTGGTTATTGGTTTGTCAAAAGTCAAGAGTCTTGTACACTGATGTACATTGCATATATAACTTATTGTTACGAAGCAATCTTGATTGACTAGTTCCCTTTTGGTTGGTTGTCCCTTCTGAATCTTGATTTGGCTTCTCAAGTAACATTTGGCTCCTCTTGTGGTTCTTGAGCTCTCCCCAGACTAGATCGAATTGTTTCAGGCTCATTTAGCTGTTCCTGCTGTCAATGGCACCAAGCACTATATGCTATCTTGCATTCATTGAGTTCCACTATTGGTGTGCATTTCTTTTCTTACTTAGCAGCTTCCTTTGTTAAATTGGTTTTGTCTATTCTCTACTTCTTTCCATATTTCCCTACTTCTTGACCTCACCGCCTTCACTGGGTGTTGCGTTGTTGACAAGATCTGCACTTCAAAGTCCACAAAGTCCTGCGCCTGCCACGAAATCTGCACTGCGGGGTGTTTTGCTTCGGGTTCTTTCTTGTAGTGTGGCGGAGTCCAGGGTGTTTGAGACCGATGGTCAGAAAAGAAGAAGAAGAAGGTTCTATACTGGCTTTGGCAAATAAGTGGACAAACCATTATGGTTGCTTTATGGGGCTGATCTAATGGGTGCTGTGATTCTCAGATTAAATCCTATTTAATTTTCATGCGGATTTAGCCCTTCTGGGGGAGCTGAACTTGGGTTGCTGTTGGTTGGCGAGTTGTGCAAGGAATGCTCTAGCCCGAGGGGATCATGGCTTGGATTCTGCATTTCTTCGAAAAACAAAGAGAGCCCTTTGGTATATTGCAATGGCCAATCAACCCTTTTGCCTTTGGTCTAGCTCGTATATTGTAGTCCCTTGTATGCATTGCTTCCCAGAATCTAAATTTGGAAAGAGCTGCGAAAAAGCAAATGCTTCTCTAAGAGACATGATCTTGTAACATGGACAGGGAGTTTCCACACCTGGCAAGAGCACCCCCTCCAAGATCTGGCTCAGCTGCATCCGCAAAGTCGCCGCCGCAGAAGCAGAACCAGCGCCGACGCCGAGAGCTTCTGGCGGATTTCGGCGGATTGTTGGCGAATTTCGTGCGGTCTCTCTCCCGGGTTGGAGACATTTCCGTGGAAGTCGACGACGCATCGAACATTGGAAGAGGAGTTTCCTCTACAGCAGTGGGAGAGAGTCCGAGGATCAAGTAAGAAGCACATATATAAAAGACCAAAAAGAGAGGAGTTCAAATCTTCGTGGGTCTAAATCCACTCGAGACTCAGAGACACTCCCTTCAAAGAATGTCAGGGTCCAGGTATGTTCAGGTGCCAGTGAAGAACTGGCAGAAGTGGCCGGGAGATGGCCCACAGTAACGGTTGCTGGTGGAGTACATCATTTCGCTTGCGTTCCAGGCTCTAACCCATAGCTCCAGACATGGAGCCATAAGTGATGTAGCGAATTGTAGCGATGTACAGATCCTCTGCTCACAAGTAGAGGAGTCCATGGTCTATCTGTTGATCATTTTGCCACCTCTTGCTGTATATGCACACCAGGGCCAAAAGCCTTACCTACTCTTCTGCAGTCAGGCCTGCAAATCCCTTCTGACAGGGTTTAGGAATGACTTGAACCACTGCTTGGTGGCACGCGTCCTTACAAAGAGACCTCTGCATACCAGAAAACTTCAATGAATAAACATCACCACTGCTACAAACGTACCAAAGAACAGCTTGCTGATTTTGCTGTTTCTCTGTCAAAATTCCTGCACCCGTCTCGGCTTTTCATCCTCAGTCACCCCACGGCTTCTGACGCCCAAATACGCTTCACAGGCTTCACCGCAACCGCGTGCCCTGCACATCTGTGTCCTTCCTTCAAAAGTACCTGTACTATTCTCAGTTTCCCCGAACATCTAGGAACCATATGAATAGTGCGACCCTCGTTAGGCGGCAGGGGGTGGAGCTTCCTTGAAGAAGCGTGAGCTATCCTGCGTCCATACTAGTAGCTACTTAAGCTACTACTAGCTACCTCTAGCTACTACCTCTACGGACTACCCCCCGGGGCTTTAAAAAAGGTGTCCGCCCCGTCCGTCCTTGAAGCTTTGGATGTGAGTTAAAGCGTTGAAGTTGAGCCTCCAGGAGCTGCAGCTCCTTAGCACGAGACGTAGAGCGTGCAGCGTCCGCAAAGGCTTTGCTACAAGTATACAGGAACCGATGCCGTACGCCATGTCATGCCACTTCACTTGGTAAATCACGTACTCATACTATTAAACCCGCATCCCCTCGAAAAGCCTGAACGAGTTTGCGTCACTTGTAGCAAAATTTCATCAACATCCAGAGAAAGGACATAAACAACAAGTTGTTTTGTGATATATTATTTCATGATGTTTCCATAGCGGCCTACTGTAACCTACTTGCCATGATATGCCGGCCTGAACACAACTCCCTGCAACTTGAATGCAGGGTTCCCAACTGCAAATGGGGGTGACAAAGCACAGTTAAAGGATAGAGAGCATGTGCACAGCAGCTGAACAAGGCTTTGAAGAGCCCTTGGAATCTTTGGCCAGGTCCTATAATCAATATCGAGTCCAAAGGATGAAAACAAAAACACACCAAGCTCCAAAAGCTTGGTGTAGGTCTGCCAAGTGGATTCACGTTTGAGGGCCCGGATTCTTAGGGCAAACAAACACATTCACATTGAGTCGATTGGGGTTCTCGAACGCTCACGAACTCGTTGTCCGTCGTTCTCTGGAACCAACACCGACGCATCCAAGACTCCCCCACAAAGACCTCGGGCAAGCGCCGTAGGAGCTGCTCCGCTGCCGTCTGGTGCGGGAGGTGCAGTGAGGTGGGCATGTTTGGCATTGGACAAGACAAAGCCACAGGGCGTCTGATTTCTGAGATTGGCATAGATTTGCAAAATCCCAGGAATGTACTGGGGCTGGTTCAGTGACACCAGTGAAATTGTGAGGCTTTGTGTCTTCGGCGTCTCCTTTCTCATATCACCTGCGGTAGTCTTTGTGTCTTCGGCCGGCTGGCTGGCTGATCGAGAAATAGCGGGCCGCGATAAGCTCGCAATGAAAAAACAAGCAAATCGAAAAACAAAAAGCAACAACACTTAAACCGCAAAAACAACAAAAAAACACACAATTGGCCTAGCCTTGGCACAGCTTACCGCAGTCCCCTGGTGGCTGTACTCCGTTGCTTCTTTTGGTGGGCGTCCTTTTTTCTTCGCTTTTTTTGGTGGGCGTCCTGTTTTCTTCGCGTCTTTTTTGCTTTTTTTGGTGGGTGTCCCTTTTTTCGCTTGTTTTCGCTTTTTTGTTGTTGTTTTTTTTTGTTTTTATTTTTGTATTTTTTTCTGTGTGTGTGTGTTGTCACTTTTGTTTCAGTGTTTTTTTTTTTTTCGCTTTTTTATGGGCGTTAATTTTTGTTCACTTGTTTTTCGCTTTTTCGTTGTGGTGCCTTTCGGGCGCGCGTGTTTTTGTTTGCTTTTCCTTTTCATTTATGTTGTTTTGTTGTTTTTCGATTTCTTTTTTTGCTTTTGCTTTTTATGGTTGCTTTTTGTTCGTTTTTTTTTGTGTTTGCGTTTATATTATTTGGCAAAACCATCAGAGATAGCCTAGGCCTAAGTGGTTAACATAATGGTAGTCGTAGTCCTTGTCGTGCCTCGTGTTTTGTCTCGTCGGTGCGCAGTCATTCTGCCCTTGCCCCCCAGTCACTCTGGCCAGATCAAGACGTTGGCTATAACGCATGACCACGGATACCCATGAAGTCCTCCTCCGTAACACAACCGTGATGGACCAAGTGACAAAGTCATCCTGCACCAGTGGAGACATCTTGGAAAGGCACAGACTGCAAACGTGAACCTTGACAAAACAAAGCTCCCCAGTGTTGATAGCTCCGGGACGCCTTGTCGACATTGGTCAACCAAGCTTCTGAACCCAGCGAACCCACCCCCCTGAAAGGCTGAAAGGCCTGAGGCGTCCGTGCATCCGCACGAAAGCTATCATCCCGGATCGTCTTCTTGGCGATCTCGAGGAATTCTTCTGCATCTGGGTTCCTAGCAAGCAGCTCTATCAAAGGAATACACACGCGCTGTGTGCGCCCTTCAGTCGTGGTTGACCGGGTTTCGACCTTCTCCGTTAGCATCACTCCGAAGGAGCAGCACGTGAGGTTCTTTAAAGCTAACTTCTTCATTTCCTTCTACATGATTCTACATGAAAAGACATTCAATTGAAAAAAACACATACCAATTTGGGTGGCAAAATGTCCATGTTGGCTCAGTTTTGCAGGACCAACGAGGATGCTCGTTGGTCAAGAAGAACAATCTGGCTATCACCGTCAAGCTGCAAAAGCGATGCAAAACCCGGGAATTGCGGTCTGTGTAGGAAGTTTGGATGAAAAGATCGACGATTGAAAAGATATCAAATCGTCACAACCAGTCATAGCGACAGCACATCATGGGAACGCCCTGAAGTATCGAGCATCTCGGTTTGGAATACACATGCTGAAAACTGAAAACTGAATGAACTTGGAGGAATCATGATGAATGCAACATGAGATCTTAACAACCCTTTTTGGTAGACACTTGATTCACTTGACCAGGAAAGCCTCTCACACGGAGATTTGAGAAACAAGAATGGCAAATGGGATATGTTTTCCATCAATAACATCCCCCCCACCCAGAATCGTCACGGTGGGTCAAAACCCGGAGCTCCGTTTCCCCTGCTGGGTTTGAATTGCCTTCTATTCAGGGTAATCTGTTTATGTTCAGCAGTCCATTCGAATGTCCGGTCCTTTTGACAGGTCCCAGAACCAAACTGCCAGAAACTAGCTGCTAGCTGGAGTTTCAGTTTTCGGTGCCAGAAGCGAACAATCAGTGATGGTTTGCTTCATCTTTGGTTGCTTCGTGATGTTGCGAACAACCATCCATCCTTCTCCCGGAATCGACCCCTGACAGACACTCTGTCGCCGCTCCTCCCCGGTCGCAGCTTCTGACGTCGTAGCTCGTCCCGCTCCTCCTCCTGCTCCTGCCGAGGTTCCCAAGGGACGTGCTGTCCGGACGTCACGTGCTGTTGTTTCCCATACCGTTCACGGCAGGACATTCATCCCGCTGATGGACCAAATCCTGCACCACTGGAAGAACAAAGCCATACCCTCGCGCTCCCTCTTTAACATTGAGTTGAGGAAAACCCAAAATCCTGCATCACATTTACCAAACATGAGACAACATTGAGTTGGGGCACGGGGTCTCAACTAAGTTATAAGACCACATGAGCGACCTTCAAAATTAGAGTTCCAAAATTGGATCATTCTACTGAGGCTTCGCTTTTGGTTTTCCGGCTTCGTTTTCCAAGGAACTGCACCAGTCATAGAATTTAGTCCATCAACAGTACAGGGATCCAAACACCTTCTCAGAAGGTACTGTGACCCTCCAAGCGTACATCAACAAAAAGTCTCCAATCACCTTCTCAAAGGGTATGTGGATCCATAAGGTGTCAAAACCCATTAAATTCTATGTCATTATAGGTCTATGGGTCCCGGTCCTCGCGCAAGCGTTCGGCCTCGATGAGTCGGCGTTCTTCGACCTGAAGGTCGTCCGTCGGCCCGAGCTTCGGGTTTTTCTTGGGGGGCTGGCTCGCCGGGAACGAAGAGCTAGCAGTTGGTGACTGAAAGATTGAAGAACATCACCAGGTCGACCTGGGAGAAAGAATGTTAAAGATAGGTCTGGGGGACTTCAGGGGCCAAAGAAAAAGAACCTGAAGTGCACATTGAGAACTCATATGATGATCCTGTGTGCCCTTTCTCGTTGACATGATGGGATTTAGAATGCATTTGACAGCGTGTCATGACCATTTTCGTGCTCGTGCTCGTGGCACCAACGACAAAAGACATGGGGATCAAGTGGTATCCAACTAGATGCAAACCTCTGCAACCTTGCCAAAGCAGGGCAAGGTTGACCTGGCCGCGTAGGGAAAAAAGGGAATCGGATCGTTTCGAATTGAAAGGCGTTGGAGCCCGTTGTATCCACCCGCGGCGAAGAAACAGTTGAGCACCAAAAACATGATGTGTTTTCTTTTCTAGAGTGGACCGTCACTCTTTCATTCTGATTTGAAAGCAGTAGTATATAGTGGTCTACCCCATATATCCACTATGACTATGACGACATATACACTGATTCTTCATGAAATCACTCACTAGTACGGGTTTCTTGATGTTTCTTTCGCACTCCTGCTAAAAAACACCGCGGAATGCCAAATCAGCAGTATTCACCCTCGCTCGGATCCGATTCCGAGGAGCAATGAGCTCGGCCACCCGTCGCAGATGCGCTGCGTGGCCCCCCACGCAGGTCCACACCGCCCTCCAGTCGTCTGCCTCCTGGGGCGCATGTGGTCGCCAGAGAAACGGTCGAAATGAAGTCTTCACACCCGAGTAGTCTTGGCAAAAACATATCTATACAAACTCTCACAGCGTGAATCGAAAAAATGAGATTAAACATAATTCACGTTGATTCACTATGGCATAAGTAACAACAATGGCCTCCAACCTAAGAGCGATGGCCTCCCTCCACAAAGCAATAGGTTCTATACGGCATATCACATACGACTGTCTTGAACATGTCTTTCTTTCCGAATTGCAAAGCCAGAAACAACTGGCAAGCTACGCAGCAACTTCCGATCTAAACAAACGGGATGACGTTGTCTCACATTCCCACAAATAACTTGCACGACCATGACCCAAACGCAAGAAGCGGACGCAACAGATTATTCAAATCTCCAACGAACCAATCTGCACACCCTGCAATCTCCGCAACCCTTCAGATTCGATGTCTCCCCACTCCCTGATGAGTCCACTCCCAAGTGCTCTACCTCCTCGCTTGGAAGGGCCAAAAGTGACAGCCTCACTCTAAACCCCCATTGCCGACGGACCGGACACAAACCATGGTCGATTCTGAAAACTACTAGTAGCATCTAGTAGCAAGAAGCTAGTAGGTTGGCGGCCATCGCTGCTAGGTTGGAGGCCTTTGATCACCCAAAAACGCTGCTCTTTTTGGGAATGAATAGAGGCAATATAGAGGCAGTGATGCTCCTCTTCCGGCAGGAAGCGTTGGAAAATCGCTTTGGCCATGTCCTGGCAGTGCAAAAGAAGAAAACTCCCCCTCAGGTCCCAATGAAACAACTTGGACACTGAACAAGCCATGGATGGTTGTCACGTCAAGCAAATTAGGCCAAGCGCCCAATTTGGCATATACTTCCTAAGGAAACACTCCAAATATCTCCAAGTGCAAGTGATGTCAGTTTTTTGTTTGCTGGGATCACTCTCCGCTTGCTTCGTTCTTTTGGTCACACCCTAAGACCACCAGATCCTGGGACCACTCGTCCGCCGTGAGCACCGGCACCTAGGACCACCCGTCGTGCTCGTTGCAAAGAACACGTAGCGACGTACTGCGAGGAACTGAGGAATTTTGTCCACGATGTGTCCGCTTCAGCATGTTTTGGGAGGAAATTTCATGTTCAGAATCAAATAATGCATCAATATATTGCGATTAAGCGGCGTGTGTCTGTGTTGTGTGTGTCCACTCCTGTTTCTAAGGAGCTTGCATAGACTAATTCACCTTCGGTGGATTTCATGAAGTTTGCAGGGGGATCAGGCTTCCAGTGACTAACCTGATCCAACGAAGCTGGGTCACTGGAAGGGAAGTGGTTGAGGACGCTCAACCATGTACTTGCCGAGTTCATCTATGCGGTTTTTGTTAAACAAAACTGTTTAGGCCGACCTCCTCGCCTTTCTGTTCTGCACAGGGCTGTTGACAGGTCCAGGCTCCAGCGCTCTAGATCGGTATTGTATTCACTAGAGTGGGCCACCTTCACTGATTCAGCTCTTGCGAGCATCAATCTAAGTGTGTTCAATGCGTTCCATCCAAACAATCGAACAATTTGGTGCATTTGCTGCATTGACGATGGATTTGTCAGGATCATTGTCATTCCTTGTGAAGGTTGTCCGCCATGAGGGTATCAAATGATTGAAGGAAGGACATCAATGAAGTTTCCCGAAAAACTTTCCGACCACCTTTTCCCTAGGGTCCTGGGACTACAGGGATATCTACCAGAGGAAGCAAACAGCACATCTTGCTTGAAGTGCTGAGGGGTAGAGCAAGCTCGAACAGCTGCCCGCACGCAACGGTTCACCACGACCAAGAGCGCATGAAAAACATCAAATGCCCTCCTCAGCAAGTCTATACTACTTCCCATGCAGCTGATCAGCAAGTTGACTCACACCCAAAACGACGAGAGGTTCAGGATGACCCCTGCCACATGACTTCGGTTTGGTTCTGGAAGGCGGGATGACTCCATCGATCACCATCCACAAGACGCCGCCAAACCACGAACGGGATGGCCCAAAGAAACGTGTGAGAGCGGCAAGCTGTCAGAGGAGACAGCGAGAGTGCGCCAAGTAAGAAAGCACTGCCGTTCGTGTATAGGAAAAAGGATCCTCATTGCGTGCGAGTTGGCCATTTGTAACCATGTTGGGCTACTTCCTCCACCCCACGGATGGTCCATAGACATAGACAAGGCGCACCGGCCTCACTTGCCCTCAAGGCACCAATGCCATCATAGCTCTGCACCAGTAGGCGAGGCGATCGAGGGCCTGAGGAAAAGTGACCAAGAGCTGTAGTGCTCCTCGGCAAAATGTTGTTCTGCATGTAACAAAGATTGGAGTTACACAAATCATTGGTGATGGAAGAATAGTTACTATTGGTTTCTTGTATTGGCACTTGCTACTATATATGATTCTGTTCTTTCTTTGTGGAGGTCTTCTTCCGATGGATGCTATGAGTAGCCTAACCGCAGCAGCACCAGAAAGCCGCAACCCACTCGCGGTGCGACGTGCTACCCGCCGTTTCTTTTCCGGAGCAATGACAATGAACTGCAAGGCTCGGGGGTCGGAGTGTTCATTGCAAATGACGTGGAGACCTCTACAAAGCTGGTGGTGGCACCTTCCATCAACAGTTGCTTGTATTTAAACCGTTTAACGCAAATATACCTGGTTCTTCAAAGTGACCGAACTTGATAACCTGGTTGGTTCGGTCACTTAAGCCTCCAACAGGGTCACGAAAAGGAACCTTTGATTCAAAAGGTCACGTACTGAAGAAGCTGGCAATACCTATCCGATCCTGCAGGAATGTCTTGCGCCATCAGGTGCTTCAACCCGAGAAGCACCGTGAAACACACGAAGACATGCACCGCACCTGACTTTCCCCTTGCGCGTTCCAGGAGACCTTGGGTCAGGCTGCAGATCAGAAGCAACTCATGGGATCTGCAAAGAGGAACGTCTTTGAACATATGCAACATGTTTTGCACTCGTACTGCGCAACTGCATCTCTGTGTAAGACTTGAGGCCGGCCCTACCTACATACGCCAAAACGATGTCCGCCTTGGCTGGTGGGAAATAGGCAACTCAATGGTAAGTGCAAGTGAACTTCAAGTATCTTAGGTTCCAAGTGCAAACCTGCCGCTCACAACAAAGGGCACTCTGTGACAATGACAGCACCATGTGGACTTCGCGTGAGGCGCAGGCGCACCTCAACTCAACCCCAGTGGCCGGGCGTTGCATGGGCACGGAGCAGCACCAGCGGCCCGCTCAAGCGGTCCCCCGCCGCAGCCAGGAGGAAGTCCAGGGCAGACGAGGCGCCTGAAGAGAGTGAAGGACGAACGACGGTGAAGCGTCCGAGAATCTGAGAATCGAACACCAAACGTCGACACGTTTTGCGTGTTTTTACCATTCTGGTGAAACATGTCAAACCTGTTCCTTTTTTTGGTGTGTGTCTGTGTGTGTGTGTGTCACACCCTGTTTCAAAGGGTCACCAACAGGCTTCTCTTTCGCTCATTTCGTAGACCGGCACCAGGGAGGTGCAAGCGTACCTGCTTTAAACTGTTGATTGGTTGCTGTGGTCCCCTGGTTTGTCTCATGGTGGTTCATGTACCTGATGTTGTTCCAGACTAACTTGTAAAGCTCGATTTCTCGTTTCATCCTTGGATGTGATGCTAATTAGAGCTTACCGCCGTCTCATGCGTTGTTTTGCAGTAACGGTCTAGTGCACTAAAGTGGTAACTAGATCGGCCGTGAACCTGAGTATGGCCAAAGCTGTCTAATAATCTAATCCGTTGTCTCCCGCAGCAAAGGGCTAACGCAGTAAAGTGCTAGTGCATCCGTGATTCAGTGTCTCGTTGAATGCTCGTGCAAATGAGCTTTACATCTAAGTGTGTGTGTGTGTGTCTGTGTTGCCGTCCACTTGGATTTGGGATGTGCCAGGTTTAACATTCATCTCAAGACCATGACTTGTGAGAGATTGGAACCAAAAAATAAGAAAAAATGTCTTCAACCCAGTCTTGTCACCCCGGGTTTCGACCTACGCACAAACGGAAGAATGAGGAATCCAGAATGATGCTCACCTCGGGTTTTGAATGTGAAACAATCAGTACACATCGATTGACCTAGTGACACCCGCGGAAAAACATCAGTGGACAGTGTGGGTCACACCCAGCCTCACCTCCTGAAAATTCACTTGGACCGTGAGGAAGGGTGGAGATATGTGGAGATCGGAGTTTGAACGTCTCAAGTTCGCTGACGACCAGGGAACTGATGCAAGACTGGTCAGTGCTCACCGCAACGCAATCGATAGACTGCAGCAGAATGGGCGCTACAGTTCATGACGCTTTGTGAATCACAATGGGACTGGAAGGCGTGGACCACCCGAACTCCTGATCGATGGTCTGGCCCATTCACCACTGTGGTGAAACAACGCTAGATTGAAATGTGTGTAGAGAGATATGGCTGTCTTGTGGGAGAGATATGGAGTCTCAATCACTTCAGAATCCGGAGTCATATGCGTATCGCTCACTTAAGCCAATGGCCCTTCAAAGCCCTGAGCTCAACAGCACAGCAAAATCAACCTCAACAGCACAGCAATTCAGCTCCGTGAGCCTCCTTCTCTTCGGCCCACTTCTGAAAGCAAGGCCAACCTGAGATCTTTGCAAAGGGTCAGAAGATCTGGAGAAAATGTCATATAGATTGTTCAGTTCAAAATGCCGTATAGTTCGGTTTCTTGTCTCCATCCACAGAAGCACGCTGTTCCATGCGGGCCGCCTTTAAGACATCATTCTGACATCTGCCCGCGTTGCAATCAAATTGTTGATTCTATCCCTACTCTTTCAACAAGGTTCATGTGTTGGACAGTCAACCCGAGTCAACTTTGACCGGTTTTCACCGCCATGAGTTCATCCGATGTGATCCAGTTCCATTCTCCCAGTCTTCTGGCCATGGGCCAAGTCTGAACCGGGGGTGTGGCGAGACCAAGGACGCACCGGCGGAAGGTGTTGAAGGAGTGGGGCCTCGCATGCATGTCCAACCCATTACATATCTGATCGATATAATATGTGTCTTTACTCCGACAGAGACCGCCTTGTGTTCACAACCAGCTTCCTCTCCACCCAGCCACCTATTTGTGAAGCGCAACATGCAATATCAAACAATGAGCCTGCCGGTCAAATAGACTCCACAGATCTCCAAAAGACAACAGAAAAACACCATCCCATTCGTCCCCTCAAATCACTTCAGCTTTCGACCGAGTCTCGCCACAGTGAGCCGCCGTGGAGGTAGCTGAAGCCGGGGGCTGCCGGCCAGCAGCGTACACACGTGGACGGCCAAACTGCGGATCGACCGAAGGACGCGGCGAATTGACGCGGCACACGGTGTTGGATCATTGAAAGACACATTCATCCATAACGATGGACATTTTACAAGAGACTCCAGCCACCAGGAAAAAGAACAGCACCAGATGAGAACATGAGCACAGATCGAGTCCCCTGGGATTGCAGAAAGTGAGGCATTGGGGAATCTGATGGGAATTGGATTTCTACGCTCTCTGTCTCTTCTGGGCCTTTTCCATCCTTGCCCCCCTGTTTTTGTTCAATTCTGTCTCTTCTCCGCAACGAGATGGGGTGAAAGCAAACAGAAGCTCTTCCCGAGAACCGACCGTCGACACCGTGGGCTCCGTCGCCAACGGTTCGTGCCAACGGTTGCCTCGGAATTCAACCAATAGCGAAAAAAACACAAGTGAAAAAAAGCAGGACAAGCTAGCGATGGCCTGGAATCATCTAGTGTTTCATGCCCCACTAGACCACTGAAAAAAAAGAAGAGCCTGGCTATCATGCGATGTTTTTGGGGTCCATGTTCACCACTTTCCCATCACTCCAAATGTCGACTCCTCACGGGATCTGTGCGGTGCTTCTCAAGGATCTCACGGCTTTGGGGTACCTGAGCCAACACAAATGCCGTGAGAGTCAACACAATGTCTCAGATGCTAAGGAGCCTCGGAAGCCGAAGAGCAAGGAGCGGAACAAAGAACTGCAGCGTGAAGGGTCTAAATTCGTCCAAGGGAATCAAAGCAACACCCCCCAACACCAAGCAAGAAAGCACCAATGGCAGTATTCAATCAGTTAAATTGACAAAAACTTATCTGAAGTGTGAACATCTATCGCCTATTATAGCTTCAACATGCTTCAAATAACTGCCTTCCTTTCAGAATCCAGACTCCTAGTTTTCACAAATTGGCACCAACTGCCACTGGCCCTCCTTCACCTCCTTCACCCGCCAGGTCCGTCGTCGCGGACCTCTGTTCCGCTGGGCAAGGCGTGTGGCAGACCCATCCGCCCCACCAGCGCTTCGACGGTGGCCAGCAGTGATGTCCCAGCCTCGCCAGCCACGTCGTGGCCCGAAACGGCGAAAGACGAAAGCACCGGTGGGATGGTTTTGTGTGCCTTTTCGGTGGGGAAAGTGTCCTCCTTTTCTTAAGGACCGCGTGTTCGTTGGGACCGCGTGTGTGAAGGAATGATCAGTGTCCAACAGGTCACTTCTGCCCACCACCCAGGCACCGCTCTAAAACGCCGCGACCGAAGTCGCCTTGGGAAACTGCTCGAAGGCACCTGCAATGCATGATTCCACCAGGTCCTCCTGGCGAGTTGCTCACTACCATCAAGCGAATGAAGCGGCTGAAAGGGAATTGATCCAATTCATGACCAATAAGAAAATATTGATGTTTATCACATGTTGAATAGCCATCCACGACCTTTGAAATTGGCGTCTACTGATGACGTGGCTTCCAGAGTTGGCAAGAGACTTGCCAAGTCATCATCAGAACAAGAGGGCTTCTGGCGGTGTGTTTCTGATTACACTAAGGGCCAGTGAGTTTTGGGTTTTGGGCAGTTCAAGCTGATACATGGAGGGTTGCATGGTACTAATGTGAGGTTGTGGGGTAAAAATCATCGGGGGGCTTGAGATCTGTTTCATGCGAGGGCATGCCTTAAGCAGCAAACCATTGACCTCCAAAGTTTGTTGCCACCCACCCATCCTCAGCGTAACAGTTGGTTTCCTCGGTGATTCTCAGTCGCAGTTTCTCTTTCGGTTGGGTTTATGAGCTACCAGGTAAGGTCAGTGATTACAACTTGGGACAAACATCATCTGCTCGCAACATGTCTCAAGGTTAGTGCCCAAAAGGAGGTTGGCCCAGTTGTCTGGAATTCTCATGGAAGGCCTGATGGCCTTTCCTTCTCAGGGGGTACATGATTTTCCTACGTTTCTGTGCCAAGCTGTTCCTGCGCTAGTCAAGGAGCGAAAATGGACTCAAGAAAATGGTCAAAATCGGCCAAGTCTGATAAGGAAATGTCCCAGTTTCTGTGGTAACCTTTTTAGTTTTTTTTGCCCAATTCCAAGGATCGTTTCAGCATCACTCAATCCTGAAAAAAAAGCATATATAGCCTGATGGCCTCAGCGGTCTGTTTGCCGGTCCTTGTTCTCCATGAACTCAGGCAAACGTTCCCGAAGCATGGCCTGTCCAGTGGATTTGTAAAGAGATGTCAGGAGCAGCTAAAACAGCAAAATACATCAGAGCAACATGAGCGACTTTACCCTGAAGTGGAAACGCCAGTAGAAACTGGTAGGCCTTGATTGGACATTGAGAGAAGTCATTGGTGACTGCCTAAGGTTTTGGTTGACAAATGCATTCCCATGCGACCGCCACGGGTGACGCAGCACAAATTCGATCTAAATCGTGAATGCTTCAAGACAAACCATACACCTGCAAAACAGTTTACATGTGTTCACGACAACTCAAAACTGTTTTGTGCCTTGATTTGCTTAACGAGCCATGAAAAAACAAACATCTTCCCCACGCGAGATGATCTACCCTGTTCATCGTACCGCACATCGTCAAACCAGGAAATGGTCAATTATGGCATTTGGCATGAATCGCATCTCAAAAACAGTTGTGTCATGTTTTTTTGAATCTGAATCACATGACATTAAAAACAAGGTGTCATTGTTTTTTGCATCTGAGAAGCAAACACTCACGAATTGGACCATATTTGAAAGGTCATGATTCTTCACACCTGCATCGCATTCTCGCCCTGCTCCATGTCCAAGATCAGCGCATTCGGCAAAGCGGCCTGGATGGCCGTGCCAGCGCCACTACCTGGGGAGCGCAATACCATGCCATCCTCCCACCAATCCTCTTGTGCCAGTTCTGATTTGGAACAAGAAACATGTGTTTTCATGATCGGGCGATCAATCAAAGCCCTTATGCCCTCCCTAAACCATTAAGAATTCACTTGATGTGCAAAGGACCTTGTGGGTCAATTCCTCTGAACCACCACCCACACAACCGATTGTGGGTCTCCGTCGTTCCTTTGCCGAAGGCTTATAGTCCATTTGCAGCTGCACGGAGTACATACAGCAAACCCCTGCGTACATGTATGTGTATGACATATGCCCTGTCAAGACATGTCCAAGAATTTTCAGCTTTGAATTATCCTTCTCTCCCACCTACCTGCGTGATCCCTTCCTCTCATAAATAAGCATTCAGCTCCTCTCCGTTAGATTTCCTAAAAATTCCCCGCTTAGTTTGACAACACAGGATGGGAGGGGAGATGGAGAGGTATGGACATGGAAGAAGAGTATAACACCCGACTTGTCTACCATCAAATACCTTGATACAGAACCGACTTGTCTACAGCAAACATGTTTGCAAGGTCATTTTTTGGTGCCCTTGTTCAAGCATCACACTCAGGTCATGTGCAACATGTCCCCGGGCCTTTTTTACTCCTACTCGATGTCCTTATTGCCCCTTGCTGTCCTTGCCTCTCATCCCCTTTACTACAAGCTCTAAGGGACTCTATCAGTGACAGAAGGAATAAACAACGAGAAAGTAACACACATTTGCTATAGGATAGCCACTAGAGAAACAAACAACCCATCAATTCTCGTTTGTTCTTCCTTCGTCTGGTCCAGGCCCCTGATTTCTCAGGGAAATGAGGTTGATTTTTGTCGTGTATTCAGGCTTGTTGCATGCTTGTCTTCCCTTTATCTTTCGTAGGACGTCTTGCTCCCCTCACTGGGAGAGGAGGGGACTAAACAGCAGTGTCTTTGTGAATTCTGCAGCTGTCCTTCCATGTCCTATCACTTTGATTGCTTTTTCTCCTCGAAGCGGTCTATGGAAAAAGGAAGATCTTCCGAACTCTTCATGCACATTGAAAAGAACATGGATATGCCGCGCCATGAAGTGTAAACCAGGAAAACGCCCCGTTCCGAACAGCTCCTCGCCTCTTGCGCCGGTGACCCAAAGTTCCCGCTGAACGTCACCAGCGAACTTCTGCAACTCCAAAGTGAGGCTCTTGCTGCGAAGGAAGGGCCACCTGCCGGGCGCCCGTACCCGGGCGCGAAACGGCGTTCGCCCGGGGTGAAGCCGGGCGACGCTGTTTTTAGCCACAGTTGCCCTCACAGCTACTTAATTAAGTAGGCACCTAGTTATATCAGTAATTAAGGGCCAAGTAAGCTATGACCTACTGGACGCAGGATAGCGCACGCTATTCATTTGCTTCCTAGCCGAAGTCAGACTTTGAACACCCCAGATTCAGGCTACCCCGGAACGCAGCACTGGTTTTTTCGGTCTCGGAACGAGCGTCGGAACGGGTTCACGGGTTCTCCCGCTTCACAGGTCTTGTCCACGAGGTGCTGCCACTGCCACGACATTCCCCATATATTTGTTCCAATAAAACATAGGGAGCGTAAGGAAAACTGCAGCACCAGAGCGTAGGGGTTGTGAGCCTGGAATTCTGAAACCAGGACCCACAAAACGGTGGCTGTGCACTCAATGAGTGAAACACCAATCGTTGCACACTTCTGCATAGTGTTTCACCACAAGAACACACATGCAAACCGGGCCAGCAGCTGCGTCCAGCTGATTTGGGGACGGAATTCAATGTTCAAGCAAAAGACGCAAAGGTGGTATTAAGTATTTGTCCAATGCTGTTGTTTGATATGCAAACGACTGGCATACCTGTGGGGTCTAACTAGAACAGGCCCAAGAACCTCCAGGTGAAGGACCCATGATCCAACACATCTCCTCCACGAGATCTCGCCCGTTCGCCACGGGTGAATATCTGTGAAGTATTTGGCACCCCTGCCTGGGAGCAACCTTGGCCTTGGCGGCCTTGGCAGGCTTCAGCCTGGCTGGTACTCTCTGTGCTAACGAGTGGAGACCAGGAAGCGGAGATGAGTAGGATTCGAGAATCCCGCATTTTGGAACCCTGCTTCCTCTACAAACGCAGAATTCAGATGCCCATACTGTTTGGACCCATTTAGAGTCTTTTGCAGGGACCATGTGGCCCTTTTGCTTGCCTTCACGCATTGCGTAACACTATCTTTCACAGCCCACGATGTTCGGTGGAGGCAACCCGAGGACTGAAATAAGCAACCTGCAAGACCCACGAAAACTAAATAACCTGAGAAGCGACTCCAAAAGAAAAGGCAATTTTGCGCAATTGTGCGCTTCAAGAAACCAGGCTTTGGAGCCTGAACGAGGAACACAAGCCAAGAAAGAAAAAAGACTTGATGATTGGCCTCCCCTTTTCAGCCACTCCTCAGCACAGCCAATGCAAAGGCTCCCTTCGATACTCTTCGAGAGCATGGCTTGCTTCATGTGTCCCCAGCAAGCGCTTTAGCCCATTTGCCTTGCTGTCATCCATCATTGCGATGGGTTGGCCCAAAGGACACAAAGTGACCAGTTGCGCTTGCACCCGGCCAACGGTGCATGGATGCCAAGGACATACCGTCTTGACGATCCATTGGGTCCGCGCAGGGTTGCTATCCAAGGCGAACGAGCCCTGAACTCCAGCTACATCACGTCGCATCTGCAAGGGAGCTATACCAGGACCCTCCAACAGGTCACCACCTGCGACTTTTAAGTCTCCAAAAGCCACCAGAGGAGACCTGTTGGAGGGTGCTGATATGGATTTTGTCATGATGTTTCCAGCGTCATCGGAGCACCGAAACAAAGCTGGGTTCCATCAAGCATGAAAAGCAATAGCAAGCTGACTGAGAAGCAGCTTCGATAAAGGTCCTCGATGGTTTGTGGACCGGTGCCAAAAAAATATTGCTCGGCCCATGCTCCATGTTGCATCCTTTTGCTGAAATCTTGCAAAGGTTCAATGACGTAGCGTACGTTGCAACCTGAGATCTTTCGATATCTGTGGCTGGTTTCTTCTTGCAAGCTCACAAATGGCAGAATCGTCAGACTTCACAAACGGAAAGATTGGGTTGTGGTGCAGCAAGATTGAGGAAACATCTCTGAGAATCTTGTTTGAGAAGCATTGCCCAGTCTTGCATGAATTGCCCTTCACGGGCAACTTGCCAGAAGACACCAACTCTTAACGCAAATCACCCGGGCAGGGTGGACACAATGAACCACGTTGCTCCTCAGCCCAGGTGTGCAGCCTGCTGTCCTGGCACATCTTACTGTTCTCGTGCGCTTGATGGCCTGTGTACCACATCCTGAACAAGAAGAGCAGCTCCAAACTCCCAGACGAATACGGACGGCAAGCCAAGAGACCACTCATCTCGCTGATGTTTCAGGGGAATGGTGAACCCAAAAGAGTGAGACTGGCCCAAATCTATCACATGACCTGGGCAGGCTGCCGATCGAATCGTGCAAGATGGGGTGTTAGACTCCCTGAAATCAAGATGGAAGTGGAAAATGGCCCAAAAGGGCCCTCGGATGAGCATTTTCCCTCATCAAGTTGTTTTTTCAAGGAGGGGGTTTGGTCTCATGCCGCCTGATGAAATAACGCCAAACAACGGCTCGACTGGTATTCCTGATCTTAGACCCTGCATCTCAAATGAGTGAATCACTGTGGCGATGTTCAAACAAGTCATGGAAGGTTATCTGCTTCAACAGCCGATCACAAAGACTTGCAGCAGAAATCAAAGCCACATTACTCCGATCGTCAGTACTTCATGAGCGGTTGATCAGATTGCATTTTTCGGCCGAAAAAGGACATCCGTTGCGCCTCGGGGTCTCCAAAAGCCGGGTAATTCTCGGTGATGCATGTTTCTCGATGCCTTGAATTCTTCAGGTGTATTTGCACCATGCGAGGAATTCTAAGCATGAATCTCCTTATATAAGTGTCCAACCGCCCAAACTGGTCAAACTCCAACCGCCAAACTGGTTTTAGCGCTGCACAAGTCAAACCCTTCTCCATATAAGTGGGTTCCATCACTTGCCACCGAAAGTAGACTTTTCATGGGCACCACTCACCTCGGGTTTCCCGGTCCGACTCAAAATGCAATTCTTCCATAGCATCATAGCATTGTACATTGGTTCCATCGCATATGCTAATCAATGCTAACTCAAACACTCATGGATCCTTTTTTCAGTGGGGGTCGTGCCAGGGGTCTGGGGACTGGGGTCTCAAGCCCCTGAGGTTTGAGGATCCATTTCCCATTTGGACCATCGGCAGAAACCACAAAACACGCGAAAGCTTAACTGTGGCCAGCATCACTGAGTGGCCAATGCCCGGTGTGCGGCAGCAAGTCGGGCGTGACGCCAGCATGCAACCTCCATCTAGAAAGAAACAGAATGGACAGACCAGCTCTGTTCTTGGGAGTGGTTAGTGAATAGGATTGGTTGGTCTTGCAGAAAATGTACGTATGAGAATGCTCAATATCCGCCTATATTCGCGGCACCCTCAGGATAGAATTACATTTGGAGGCGCCTCGGCAACACAATTTACGTCGTTGGACTCTCCTGCTCTGACTCAATGTCTGCGACCAAGCACACAGTAACAGGCAAGTTTAGCTGCTGCCAAAGGCAAAGCTTGCATTCCAAGATGTCAAGAACACCCCAAACCATCTGCTTCAACCATCGCTTCCAGTTGTGCCATACATCGGGCGACCTACATCTTCGACGTGAACGACGATACCAATGAAGGCATGCAGGTCCGAGCAAGGCCTTCCGCATCCGAGCAGGCACCCATGGGCTTGCCATGAGAGCTGTGACTTGGTTGGAAAGCTTCGATGCAACTGATTTAGCCTGATTTAGGCACCCAAGGGGCCATGCAAGTTCTGACTTGCAAATCATCTTGACCTTACGATAGTAATGTTGACTTTCATACAGCTTCAAATGACTCAATGTCGGTAGATGTGCTGCGGCTCAAACGATCCTCTTGCCAACTTCTGCACTATCTGCTCAAAGGAAGTCAGGTGTGTTATGTGTGTGTGTGTGTGTCTGCGTGGTTGTGATAGCAAAGGATCCTGTTCTTCTAAGTCACCAAACATGAAATAGACCATGCGGCAGAAGCTGAGCTCCGGGGCAATTACATCTCAACGGTCGATCTGAAAGAGATATCTCTTCCCGATCAAAACTCACTTCTACTTTTGAGCACCAATTCCTTTTGGAAGATTGTGGAAAATGCTGGAAGAATCCTCCATTCCCGCTTGATTCTTCAGTGAAGCCACTTAGACTAACAATGACTCCGGGCCGTACCAGAGGGGATGCACAGTGCACATGATGCATAGCCAAGCTTTGTTTTTACATCATCCCTGTTTCTAGTAACAAGTGCATCGCTACTAGGAACAAGTGCCTTACTAGTAGTAACAAGAAGCTAGTAGTAACTAATTTCTGTTCTATGATTTTAAAACATCAACACATACAGCAATTGCCACCAGTCACCCTGCAAGTGGAGACTTGACTCCAACACATACAGTCACCGAGCTCACGGTGAATGGAGACTTACAGAACCAGGCGAGCCCCTCAACTTGCAGGCTTGAATTCCAAGGAGTAAGGGCAACGCATTGTTCCAAACCTTCATCTTTGCATATCTTTGTACAGGTCTCCTAGAAGTTCATCTTTCTCCAACGGGCCAGTGTAGCTTTGGACCCTTGTCCATTCGATCTTAATAGATTTTAATAGAATCTCTCAATAGCATACACAGATATACACAATATATATATATACACACACACGTGATGTGACGTGCATGTGAACAACCATGCTTTCTTTTCGTCCCCAAAGGCGTCCCCAAAGGCGACCCCAAAGACACGTCCCGCCCAACCTCGTCGCCGCGTCCCTCAACCGTCCCAGTGATCCGAACGGTGTTCGATTCGAATTGCGGCCTCAAATCTAACAGATGTGGCCTCCAACCGAAAGTGATGGCCTTCAACCTACTAGCACTGACCTCCAACCTATAGTGATGGCCTTCAACCTATTAGCCTCTCCCCCGAAATGACCGCGGTCGGTGCCTGGCGGCCAACAAGGTCTCATGCCCCAGGCCCTCCACGCAGCGCTTCAGGAGCCGCGCCGAACAGTCCTGAGTGAGAAGAACGAGATGGCGAGCGACCGTTGAACTCGGTGCGAGGAGAGGAGATAGGGCGAGATAGAGATAGGATGAGATAGTAGTGGAGGGAAAGTCCGGGGTCAGAATCACGAGAAGTTGTGAATCCTGAGGGGGATCGACCTGAAAAATCAAAAGAGACTGAGGATCGACCTGAAAGTAGTGTGTGCACTGAGCCAAGCGGAAGGAAGGAAAAAAGGTTTGGAGTTTGGAGGAATCGAAACTTCAATCCCAAAGGCAAGCGGTCCCGTGTTGGGGCAAACAGCGCCACATATCTCAAATGGAGGCCAAAGGGCCAGGCTGGACATGACATCTGCCTATGGGTTTGCAGACGCGAACCATTCATACCCACCACTAAACATGAACAGGGAGCTTCTAAAAGAGTCGCTCATCTGTCGTGACCAGCCCTGAATGGGGCAACGGTCTGACCTTCCGTTTGTCCACGCGCCGTGAGTCACGCGCCGCCACGTCGCGCGCCTGCACCACACCGGGCGGTGAACGAGACCATCCCAACTGAGGCGGAGCTGGGGCGATGGGGCGCTCGGTGGGGCGTTTTTGTCCATAACCGGGGGAGATGATGGGATAGAAAAAACAAACAAACACTCCATGGGACTGGCGTATTTCCTACATTGACCGTTGAAAT